ACAGCGTCTGAACACTAGATGGCAGCAGCCACACACACGCATGGTCTGCTGGGGCCTACACAGCACCTCCTGAGAGCATTTTCTCCTTACTTTTCTCTTTTCCTGTGAGTGTTTCCGATGCCCGTGGTGAGAGGAGAGAACCTCCTGCTTTCAGATGCATAATAAACGGACGGAAGTCACGCCCTGGCCGGTTTGGCTCCGCAGTGAGAGCATCAGTCCTGGACGGAAGTCTGGAGTTCGATTCCTGGTCAAGGGCGCGGACCTGGGTTGCAGGTCTGATCCCCGGTCCCCCCCCCCGCCCCGTCAAGGTCGTGTGGGAGGCAACCAGTCGACGTGTCTCTCTCACGTGGATGGTTCTCTCTCTCTCCCTCCCTCCCACTCTATCTAAAAATCAATGAAAAAATATCCTCAGGTGAGGATTAAAAGAAAACAGACGGAAGTCGTAAAAAACTGATCATTGCTGTCAGGGTGTGGGATGATGAATCAGGACTAAAACTACGGGCCGTGTCCACTGAACTGGGGGTCTCCACACCGTCTCTGTGAAGGGCCGGACAGTAACTTCAGCGTCAGCCTGCAACTCAGCCACCCAGGGAGCAAGGAGCTACCGACCACATGGATGTTATGGGTCCGGCTGCATTCCGACAGTTTCGTTTACAGTGACGGTGCTGGGCCGACGTTGGCCATGAGCAGGACCATCTGCCTGGCTCAGCTGGCTTGGTCCACGTGGACCCCAGGTGCCTGCTGGGTAACTCGTCTCTTTTCCCAGATCCACGAAAACCGTTCCCTCCCTCGCGGCCCCTTCCACAGCGCCACGAGATTACCTGCGTGTCCCAGACTGACGCCTGCACTAGAGTCCACCCTCTCCTCCCGCACAACAAAGCCAACAAAGCCAGCTGGTGCTGTCTGTGGCCCTGCATTTGAAACCTCTTCCTGCCATTGGTCCCTCTGCGTCCCCGCCTCCTCGCATCCCTCTGGTGGCGGCTACAACACACAGCTCTGCGCGGTCAATAAACATCGGTTCGAAGGCCAAGTTTCTTCACACGGTAGGTCTACCTCCTCCTCCCGATTCATTCCATGGGAGCCAGGTCAGCGTTTATTTCTTTTTAAAATATATTTCCTACTGATTTTTTTAGAGAGAGAGGAAGGGAGAAAGAGAAAGAAACACTGATGTGAGAGAAGCATCAATCGGCTGTCTCCTGCACGCCCTCCACTGGGGATCGGAGCTCACAACCCAACCACGTGCCCTGACCAGGAATCGAACAGGGACCTCCCAGTCCATGGGACAGCGCTCAATCCCCTGAGCCACCCCGGCCGGGCCAGGTTAGTGTCATTTCCCTGCGTCCGCACCAGCACAGGTGCCAACGCATCAGCCTTCCCTTCCACAGCACCGTGGGAACATCTATCCACCGGCCCTGACAACGCCTTGGGACCTCCCTGCTCACCGGATGACCTTCCCCGCCATCTCCGCCTAGCCGAGCTGACTGTCCCCACCCTCCGCATGACGTGCGCCCACTCTGTGAAGCGCCGAGGGGAGAACGTGCCCGTGGCCCCTGGTTTTAGACGATGTGGGCGGCAGCCCTCCCGCGGACCTGCCTGTGCTGCTCACGGTGCCTACGGGTTCTGCTGCCCACTAACAGCATTCTGCCTCGTGTCGTCGACTTTAGTTACGTGGCACTCGGGTCACAGACTGTGGTCTGCACGGTGGTGACGGGGTCTGGTCTGACCTCTGTGGTCAGTGCTCTAATCGACTTAGAAAACACGCACACGCGTGCTGAGCAAGAAGGTAAGGTTCCCAGCGGCGGGGCCGGGGTTCTCGGCACAACCTGCTGAGTCTTTAATCCGCTTTCTCTGTTGTATCGGAGTCAGAGGGGGGACGGCGCTCAGCCACCCCGACGGAGGTCCCGCCTGTTTTCCCTGCAGTTCTGACGATTCCTCCTCAGCTGTCTGAGGCCTGTGTTGTCAGGTGCCCGAGAACGCGGGGTCGCTGCAGGGTCCTCGCCTGTCCCCTCTCCTCGCACCGTGCTGACCTCTCTTCTTTCTATGTCTTCCCGCCTCCCAGTCTGCTTTGCCTGATGCTCAGCTTGGAACACCCTTTCTTGTGATCAGCACCCACCTGCTGTCCGTCTTCATTCCTTTCGTTTTAACCTCTCCAGGGAGAGGGGCGCCGCTTCTTGATCCCCCCAGAACTGGGATTTGAGAGAGCAAAACCTCTCTCCTAAAGGATGTGTCTAAGCATCTGATGACTTTGCTTCTGCACCCCTCCCCCAGCAGTCAGCCTCTCTTTCTTTCCCCCTCCCTTCCCCACCCCCTAGCCCCCCACTAACCCAGGTCTGTGGCTGGAGCTAAGGGCAGTCTTGATGGGTGGGGGGGGCCTGCTCGGCATCTTACCGTCAAGAGTAAGATCACAGGCGTTCGGAAAGGAATAGCCCACGTCACGAACTAAACACGGATTTTTGAGTGAGGCAAAGGCTGCAGGGTGGGGTCTGCCGAGGGACCGTCACAGGGAGCCCGCCCCTCCCACCAGGACGCGGCTCTGCCCCACAGGCCGTGCCCGGGGGTGGAGGGTGGTGGCGTGGATATCTCCCGGGACGCTGCCTGGCAGAGGCCGGCTGCCCCGTCCAGGCCCGGCCCGAGGGTCCCAGGGGGGTGTAACTCGGGGACATTCCGCTTGGTCCAGGGAAGGGCGGGGCTGGTTGGGAAGGCGTTTGCTCTGCTTGGTTCAGAAATATTGACAAGGATGGCAGAGAGTGTGGTGACAGAACAGAGGGACACGGGAGCTGACACCCTGATGTCGCGGGCGCTGCGGCCGCCAGACAGAAAGCCTGAGCATCTTGCTCCGGGCACAGACGTCACAGCGCGCGGCCCCACTCGGGGAGGCCTGGCCCGTGGATGCTCTGGGGTCAGCGCTCGGGGCTCCTCGCCTGGATGCTGCCCGACTCGCATTCCTAGCGGGAACCGACCCCGGGACTCTCTGGTCCGCAGGCCGACGCAGAAGCCGAGATCAAAATGGCTGTGCCCAGGCCAAGGAGCCCACCTCACGGCCCCGCGCCTGGTGCTAGAGAAACCACCTGCGGAGCACTGGGGACCAGCCCTTGCCGGGCGACATTCCCACATTCCAAAGGCCCCTCTGACTTCTCCACGGCCTCAGCTTAGGGGATGGCGCTGGCCGGGGGGGCAGGCAGGGCGCTGGCAGGCTGGCAGGCGGGATGAGCAGCTGAGGACAGAGCATTTCGACCCAGACCCCGCCGGCGCGCACGCTCGGGCTTCCGGGAGCAGACACGTCCCTTGGCACGCGGCACTAGCACTCGGTGATGGGCGGTGGCCACACTGACCACGCGGGGCTCACGCCAGCGGAGGGAGCCCCTGAAGCCAGGCGATGAGGCAGGAGGCCCCGCGCAGGTGCAGAGACCGGAAGGCGGGGGAAGGGGCTCCCTGAGAAATCAGTTCTTGATGCGCTGAAGGAGGTGGTGTCTTAGCAAAAGAAGTGGCGTTGAGACTGCCGCAGTCAGGAGGCAGAGGGACGAGCCGGAAGCAGACATCAGCCACCCGGGGCCCCGGGCCACCTCTTCGACCGGAATTATGTTTGTAGAGTGATGCGGATCCACGAGCCATTGGCTCCTCTGCCCTCACCACACCCAGTGGTCTCCACCCAACCGTCTCCACTCATTATCGTGGCCCCTTCGTCGCCCGAAGGCACTGGGGCGCCCCACCTAGGGACGGAAGGCTTGGTCCCGTTTGCCCTCAGCCTGGAGGCGGCAGTAGTCATGGTTTTGGGGCACAGGGGAGCCAGGTGGAGCTCATCTCCAGGATGACCCACGGATGAGTCCCCTTTAGGGCCCCAAGGTTGTTAGTGGCCTTAACGAGGCCCCATTTAATTCAAGGAGGGAGAAGAGGGGACGGATGTACAGAGCCTGGTGACTGTCTGGGGAGCTGAGGGAACATGAGGATGACAGGGGGTCTCCTGGTCGGCTGAGCGCAAGGGGGGATTGGCCCCGGGGGGGGGGGGGGCGGGACCTGCAGGAGCCCAGATGGAGAACTAAGCTCAACCGTGGAAACTCCTGAGATCCTATGGAACATCTCGCCAGAGACGTCCGGAAGGACACGTTCAGGAGAAACATCGAGGCTGCGGATCAGCTTGGGCTCCAGCAGCAAATACGTGGACTATAAAGTCACGGGAAGGAAGTCGGCTCCTCGAGGAGGGGGCGGTAGTGGGGAGAACGGATGCCCTGGAGACGGGTCTCTGGGCAGCACCCACGCTACGTGTTTGTCTTTAGTCTGGTGTGTGTGTCTGTGGGGGTGACACTGGTGGATGAGGCCATGCAGGCTTTGAGTGTACGAGTCTACGATGCATCATCTGTGTACGGCATGGCGTGTGCACCACCAAAAATCACATCTTCCCCCGCCAAGTATCTGACCCCGAGCCTCCTGTCTTGACACACTGAGAGAGTACGAGCGGTCGCCAGGAGCTCACCCACCTGGGAGAGCTGACGTGAACCTGCTTCTTGGGGAGCACGTCTCACAGGTGTGAGCGTCGCCTGCCCTCCTCCCCACCGTCGCCAGGCTTGGCCCTGTGCAGCTGGGCGCTGGTCTGGGTGACAGGCATCCCAGAGCCCCCCGGGGTGCGGGCCCTGCGCGGCTGGGCGCTGGTCTGGGTGACGGGCATCCCGGAGCCCCCCGGGGTGCGGGCCCTGCGCGGCTGGACGCTGGTCTGGGTGACGGGCATCCCGGAGCCCCCCGGGGTGCGGGCCCTGCGCGGCTGGACGCTGGTCTGGGTGACGGGCATCCCGGAGCCCCCCGGGGTGCGGGCCCTGCGCGGCTGGATGCTGGTCTGGGTGACGGGCATCCCAGAGCCCCCCAGGGTGCCAGGCCCTGTGCAGCTGGGCACTGGTCTGGGTGACAAGCCCCCCGGGGTGCCGGCCCTGCGCAGGTGGGTGCTGGTCTGGGTGACGAGCCCCCCGGAGCCCCCCGGGTGCCGGCCCTGCGCCAGGGCAGCGGCTTACCTGGCGCTCTCGAAGGTGGCGGACGCCGTCTTCTCCACAGCTCCAAATCCCACTCCCACGGCGAGGCCCTCTGAAACAGACACGAGAAGGGCGGGCGGGGTCAGGGGTCGCTGCAGGAACGCGCACGGCCCTCGCTGTGTCCGGTGAGGCTGGGTAGGCAGCCAGTGACAAACCCACAGGGTAGGAGCCTACGCCGGGGTCGGCAGCACCCAGCTCACCGCTCACGTTTCGTGGCCTGAGAGCCAAGGACACGTTTTACACGTTTAAGTAGCTGAAGGAAAAAAAAAAAAATCAAAGACTATTTCATGACACATAAAAATTGTATCATTTTAGTGTGCATCCATAAAGTTTTATTGGCACACGGCAGTTGACGGATTGTCTGTGGCTGGTCCTGCGCTCCATCAGCGGAAATGAGTAGTTGTGGCAGAGACGTACGGACCGGAAACCTGACATATTTACCACCTGGCCCTTCACAGAAACAGTTCGATGACCCCTGAGCTAAATGTGAAGGGTTTCATTTTTTTTTTAAATTTTTTTTGGTACGTGCCCCTAGCAGGAACCAAACCCTGGACTCTCTGGTTTGCAGGCCAACGCTCCAAACGATGAGTCAAACCGGCCAGGGCACATTATTATTATTATTATTATTTTTTATCATCCTTACCTGAGGACATTTTTGCATTTATCTTCAGACAGAGCAGGAGGGAGAGAGGGAGGAAGAGAGAGAGAGAGAGAAACATCGATGTGAGAGAGACACATCGACTGGTTGCCACCCCAAATCAGGCTGGGGACAAACTGCAACCGAGGCACGTGCCCTTAGCGGGAACCGAACCCGGGACTCTCTGGTCCGCGGGCCAACGCTCTAACCGCTGAGCCAAACCGGCCAGGGCTGTGCAGGGTTTTATTAGCTCATGATCAAGACATCTGCGGTCCATAGGGTGGCCCAATGCTGTCACTGCAGACATTGGACGAACCAGCCTCAGAGGGTCGAGAGGGTCACAGTCTACTCTGAGGTGGCCTGGCTGTAGTCCAGCTAGAAGCTTGGGGACGGACAGGAAGATTCTCCAAGTCCTGTCCAGTGAAGCTTGTGCGCTTCCCAAGTCCACCGACACGCTGTGATCAATACGGAAGGGAGGGAGGCTACAAGTAACTGACGGCGAGGTAAAGGCTCTGGGGGACAAAGGAACTGTCCCAGTGCCTGGGACCAGTAGGGTAGGACAGAATGTGAAGACAGTTCCCAACATCCAGGGGGAGTCAGCCTCCATCCAAACAGGAAACAGAATGACCGGCGTTGGTCCGGTTCAAGACCAAGGGCTTTGGGGACCAGGAGGAACCTTTGTTATGACGAAGGGGAGACCTACTGTGTGAGAAGGGCTTGTCTTCTTTCGGGGTTCACTGTCTCTTTGAACTAACTCCCTGTTTCTGTCCTTGCGCCCTGTTCCGAGTGGGCCAAGGACTCAGGAGTGTAGCAATGACTCCAGGAGGCACGGGGGACAACGGCCCCTTGGGCTTGACCTGTGTTAGGGTGTACGAGTTCACCTGCGACCTAATCCGGTTCACCCGCCGACCTGCTATGGCCTAACGTGTCCTGAGCTTCAATCTCCCTGCAGGGACTTTATGGGGTAACTGTGACCACCAGAGGCTACGGGTTGAGAATCTGAGATGCCGGTGCCCCACCCAGAATCTTCCTGTATTTCGCATAATAGGCAACCATGGAATTCAGAGCCCTGGGACTTCAGAGGTGGAGGAAACCCCAGAGAGAGTGAGGGTGAGTGGGCCAGACTCAGAAGCCGGGGGCTAAGGGCTCTTCCCAAACCGGACGGCCGCGTCGAGGCGCTGGGCAGGCTCCCCGCAGGCAGGACGCACGCCCCTCAAGACTCCTTCCAGAAGCTGTCGGTGGACGTGACCGGCCGGGTCAACACGGTCAGATCAATCGGACTTTTCAAAAGTGAGGCTTTACAATCGCTCCTTATTTTTAAAATTTTTTTTTTTTTTATCCTCACCCGAGGACATTTTTCCATTTTTTGTTCAGGTAGAGTGGGAGGGAGAGAGAGGAACAGAGAGAGAGAGAGAAACATCGATGTGAAGGGACACATCGAGTGGCTGCCACCTGCACAACCGACCAGGGCCGGGGACAAACTGCAACCGAGGTACGTGCCCTTAGCGGGAACCGAACCCAGGTCTCTCAGGACCGCAGGTGGATGCTCTAACCGTTGAGCCAAACAGGCCAGGGCTGTTCCTTATTTTTAAGGTTCCTGGTGGCGATGAAGTCTTCCTTCATCAAGTCTCTCCTCTCAGGACCAGGTTCCCAAGCTGGCCTTGTATTCAAGGTCTTAGCCTCTCTGCGGCCTGTCCCTTGAGAAATGGGGGGAGGGGGTGCTCTTTATGCCAGGCCCTGGGTCGGAGCGTTACCCATGAACCCAAGGTGAGAACTGTCACCTCCACTCCACAGCCCAGAGAGGAAAGGTGACGAGATGCTGAGAGCCCAGGTGGGCTGTGACTCCAGGGCCAGGCTCTGCGCTCTCCATGGCTGGTTCTTCTCTCCCTTCTCTTCCAGAGACGCCTCCGAGGGTGGAAGTCACGGCCCCAGGGAGGAGCTTGGACACCTGTGCAACGTTCCCGGTTTGTCCAATGTACCTGACAGGCTTCAGAGAGGGGTGGGCAAGAACATGCCCCGGGGAGGTGCCGGATGGCGGTGGGGACTGAATTTCAAGACGGGCTATGACGGGCACGTCGAAGGGTTTCGGACAATCTATCCAGCCGGGAGGAGGCAGCCTCGGAATCTCGGGAGCTGCCCAGGTGCACGGTTATGAGAACAGAGCCAGAGGACATGGGAGATGCCGCCAGCTGGCCACCTGCTACCTTCAGGGAGCCCAGTGCTTACAAACCTACTGTTCGCCAGCTTCTTTATTGATTTGAGAGAGAGAGGAAGGGAGAGAGAGATAGAAACATCGATGAGAGAGAACATCAATCAGCTGCCTCCTGCATGCCCCACACTGGGGATCAGGCCCACAACCTGGGCATGTGCCCTGACCGGGAATCGAACCGGCGACCTCTTGGCGCATGGGTCGGTCCTCAACCACTGAGCCTCACCGGCCGGGCTTGCTAGTTTCTTTTAGACCAACACAGTGGAGACCACAGCCCACTCCCAGGGCAAAGGTGGCCACTGGGAGAGGTGTCAGAGCCGGGGGCACTGCAGGGGTGGTTCCTGAGGAGGGACACACCCCTCCCCGCGAAAAAACCTGGGTGATTTTTCTCAGCGGTACACACCAGCTGTCTGCTCTTTCGTTAAAGATTCTGCTCTAATCCGTTTTCCATGTAAGCTGTAGCGCAGCCCGGAGCAGTAGGACCCACGATAAGCAGGAAGCCCAGCGCATGTGCGCTGAAAAGCTCACAGCAGCTCTGGGAGGCTGGGGGGCGGAGGGAGAAGGGGCTCACAGTGTGGAGGGCAGAGCCCGGCCCTGAGCCTCAGTCTCCCCTCCCCACCCCGTCCGATGACCTGGGCTGTGGCTTTCTCCCAGGTTCAGGCAGCCGGCCTCTGCGATTCTTCCTGAAGAGGTGGGACAAAGCCAGGCACTGTCTCTCCGTCCCGCCCTACGCCTTGGCCATGGCCATGTGGACCCTGGCCCATTGGCCCTTCCTCCCTGCTCTCCTGGGGCTCCAAGGGGAGGGAACCCCCACCCCCTGCCCCAAAAGCACACGCTGCCAACGTTTCCCTGTGGTTTAGAAAGGGGAGGAGGAAGGAGCGGTCATGGCAGACGAGACGGGAACTGTGGTCGTGTCTGAAGGTGGAAAAGTACCCGAGAGCCAAACGGACGAGGAACCAGGGCAAGCCCCGCATGCGGGAGAGACCCGAAATCAGAGAATCACGGCAGGTACTGAACGTCAGCAGACCCTCCGGGTGGGGACGGAGCGGAGGAGAACACGCCAGCTACAGCCCACCCCCGGGTGTTCGTGCAACAGTGCAAACGAGGAAGGGAACTAGGGCAAAACCCTCAGTGGCTGGAGCCTCATTAGTAAGCCGCGCCCCGTCCACAGCTACCGCCACGGACTCAGTGCAGAGGGGGGATACGTGCCGGGGACCGGGGTCCGAAGTCTGGCGGGGTGCAGGGGCGTCGCCTTCTTGAAAAAGCAGGTGGACCCACTCGCCCAACACACACGACTGACTGCTGCTCGGACTGGGTGAAGGCCAGCGCCGGGGAGCATGAAAGATCGAGGTGCTGCAGAAGAGGGGCGGTGAGTGTAAATTCTCACCAATATCAAAAAAGTCACATCTTGGAGTTTCTCAGGACATGCTGGTAACTGAAGATGCGCTCACACGGATCCGCCTGATTCCAAAACCATTTCCTAACTCACGGGTGCAAGGGGGACATGGTGCTTTTTGACATGTTCCACTGGGTCCAGTTGGGCTCCACTCACACAGCGCGGGACCCCGAAAACGGCTACCTCCAGTCACCCTGCCTCCCGGAACGGGGCCCACGGCCAGCGACAGTGGGAGGCGTCGCCTCAGGGGTGTGAGTGGGGACAGCCTGACGCGGCCTTTCTTCCACCGGCAAGGGAAGGCGTCCTGCTAGACACCCACATCCGGGAGTGGATTAATTTGCTTTCCACAATTTATTTGTGACAACCGAGATGCCGGTGTTCCCAAGGAGAAAAGGGGAGAGGCCTTCACTGCTACAGAAAATGCTGAGCTGCTGTGGCCGAGGAGTCCTGCTTGCTGCCCAGACTCAGGCCTCCGGCCCACGCCTCCGGCCCACGCCCCCGGCCCACGCCCCCGGCCCACACCCCTGCTGTGGCCAGGCCTGGGCTTGCCGCTACCTAAGCCGAGCTCCCTTCCCCCACCTCCAAAGGCCCCGTTCTGGTGGCTCTGATCTGCCGAGTTCGCAGCCTGTGGGGGACACGGTGATGTTCTGGGGGCCTTGTAGGTTAACAGGTCCTCTGGGGCTCTAGGAGACACTGACCACCTGCGCTGTGTCTCCCAATCAGCGAAGGCACGTTGGCTCTCTAGCTGGGCCTCCCCCTCCCCCCACGGAGACCTGGGCTGCAGATGGAGGCTCTGCAGGGGAGACCCCC